TTGAGGAGAGAGTATTATTTCCAGCAGAGTGAGAAAAGTTAAAGGGTTTGCTTGGCTTACCAGAAAACACATCGTGCTTCTTTCCTTTGTCTGTGCTCACCACATTGACAACCTCTTGTTTTCCTCGTTTCATCCTTGCCTCCTCTTGGACACAGATTGAAATCAAATCATTCAAACTCCATTTTTCTTTCTGAGCATTGTAGGATGTCTTCAACTGCTCATAACTCTCAGGAAGAGAGTTAAGAGCCATATGAACCACAAAAGAGTCATCAATAGGCACTTCAAGATCACTGAGCTTTGCCGCTGCCTCCACCATTTTCAGTATGTGCTCCCTAACTGTGTGACTTTCATCAAATTTCAGAGTAGTCAGGGTTGTCATGAGGTTTCCTATCTCTCCTTTCTCAGAGACCTTGAACTTTGCCTCAATGCCTTCAAGGAAATTCTTTGCTTTGTCACTGGCAGGTAGTCCCCCTCTCACAGCTTCCCCAATTGATCTTTTTATCACAAGTAATGCCATGCGATTAGCTTTTTCCCATTTTTCAAATTTCAACCTTTGAGCAGCTGTGCTAGTTGCATCCACTGGTGCTGGCTCATCTTCTCTAAGTGCCAAATCGTAGTCCATCAGTCCCAAAATAATCTCAACATCTTGTCTCCATTTTTTGTAATTTCCTCCATTGAGCGGCTCGATAGAGGAAAAATTCAGGGACATGGGATTCACTGAGGACGTCATTAATTTGTTAGTGAAACAAACAATGAAAATTGCATGCAGTACAAGGTAACACCTTTGGGCAAGAAACTCTTTACTACAAGTTTCATTGACATAGCTACTTAATTTAATATTAAACATCTTCATAACTCAGGTCTTTGGACAAGAATTAGATCAATTTAATATCAAAATAACCACTATGCCCTAATTCACTTAATCGAACCATTCATATATTCCCTTTTTGAAGAGAGCAGTATGTATGTTATGATAAATGAATTACAATGTCCTGCGACCTAATTCATGCAACAATGCTTGACAAAATCCCATTTTGATGTGATCTTCTAAGCATTTGTGCATCGGTGCAAAGTCTTGTTCCCTTAAAAATCTTCAACTGAGGATTATATGTGATATGTTTAAACTAAAAAACAGTTTTGAATCCAAGTAGACTAACCTTGCTCTGATACCAAATGTTAGACCTACAACTGATTAGTCTTTGCCAAGGATCACAATTAACATTCACATATACATATATATATTTGAGGAGTCTGAGTATGTACATACCTGAGGACGTCATGATACAAGCAACAAAACAGCAACACAGAGAGTCTTCTACTCACTGAGGAACCTGATATCAAAACCCTAGCGATAGTTCTAGATCTTGTTTTTGATGTAATCTTCCCGTGAGCAGGGACACCTCCTGTATAGGCTTATAAACCCAACTGCATCCCAACTATCGTGGGATCGTCTAAGCCTAAAAAATCTCCACGTTTGTCAGTTGTTAAACCACAACTGAAGCACGCATTTAGTGTCCTACAAATAAGGGATTTTATCCTTTAAATGGTTTTGACTTTAATTAATTAATTCCACGTATGATAGTCCTTATTATGCCCAATGATAATTCAATAGAGTCCTAACATACATTGGTATTGACATTGAAACTTTGCGTTGGCATGGGCATCGACAGCAAACATCATCGTCATTGATTTTCTCTTTGGCAAACTTATGATGTGTTATACCACCATAAGTTTGACAAGTGTTGGAAAAGTGGGCAAAAAGCATTAGCCGCGAATGCTTGATCTAAGGGTGATTGTCGGTCATGAAACTAACGTGATGCTTGGCTTGGACATACATTGGGTACTTGCGCTTGGTTTAAGATGAATGTCGATATGTGTCATCTTCAATTCAACATCAGCAATCTATTTGTAAGCTTGTATTGTCATTGGTATTGAAGCTTCACATTGTTATTGATATTGAAACTCTGCATTGGCATGGGCATCGACATTGGCAAACATCGTCGTCATTGATTTTCTCCTTGGCAAACTCATGATGTGGTATACCACCTTAAAAAGTTAAAAAGTTGGCAAAAGGCGATATTTTTTTTAAGGAAAACGAATGAAAATGGTTTGAAAACTTTGAGTTTTAACGATAAGGACAAAATAAAGGGTAAAGTGAATAGTACTAGGATTGACTTTTTAGTGTAAAAATATGGTTTTTCGTTAAAATGAACAGTACCGGGAGCTTTTCGTTAAAGTTTCCTATTTTTTATTAAGAAAATGGGCCTTGGACATTCTAAAATGGGCCTATCAAGATGCATAAAATGATTCAGTCTATGCCAGCTGAGATGGCAAAACGAAAGCCCACATTGTTTTCCCAGAATTACTGTAACAACCCTCAATAGAAAGCAAAAAGCCCAAATGATAAAACCTCTGGTCTCAAACGCATGCTCTCTCGACCATAAGCACGCATACCGCTCCGCAGCACAAAGAGAAGCGAAGGACTCGACAGTCTAACTCTCCCCTCTCTCTCTTTGGATTTGCATTCGAATCCAAGAGCACGAACGCGAAGGTAAACCCCCTTCAGATTTGCTCTCCGTTCTTCAATTCCCCATCTGTTGATTTTTCTTATGGCTCTTCAGCTTTTTTTTTGTTTGTTTAGATCTTGCGATTTAGTACTGACCCTTTTGGTTTTTCGCTTTGATTTTGTAATTGGAGCATGAACATCGGTGTGTTTTAGGTGGGGTTTTAGACCCAGATGAAAAGATTTGATTATTTTTAGCGTTTGAAGTTTACTGCTGATTTAATTTTGTTTGAATCTCGATGGTTAGGGTTTTAGCTCAATACCCAATTGTCAAATTTCATTTTTGAGGCCGATAGAACTTATGATTAATGTAAATGTCGAAAAAAGGCAATGGGTTTATTGTCCTTGTTGCAAAATGATGAAATTTTTATTTTTGGTGGTGAGATTACTTATTTTTGTTAAGTTATTGTTGGTTTACTATAATTTCTGATCATTGTGTAATGTAATTGGTTTTATTGTGAACTCAGGATTGATTTGGGCATCAATGGCATCGAAGTTGCGTCAGTTGCAATCTAAGGCTAGTCAAGCAACACAATTGGTGTCCAAGTATGGAAGTACCTACTACAAGCAGTTGTTAGAGGAGAATAAGCAGTACATTCAACACCCACCAACCGTGGAGAAGTGCAATGAGTTGTCCAAGCAATTGCTTTACACTCGACTTGCTAGGTTATATTTCCGAACCTTTTCTGTTTACGGAGTGAATTTAGTTATTACTTGGCTGCGTCTGGTACGAGTTGTAGATTGCAGACCATTAAAGAAGTCTCATATATGTTGACTGAATGCTCTTCTTGATTTAGTTCTGCTAGTACTTTGCTGCATCCTTGTAGACGATATGTTCCATTATCTCACAGCCTTATTTTGAAAGTTTCAGCACATTTTTTACTTCCTAAAAAGCCTGACCGTGGTAACTAAAATGTATGATAGGGTACATGATTTTTGAGCCACTCTTGCCAACATTAGGATCAAAATGTATAACTGCATGAAGAAAATGTTTTATTTACATCTTAATACATGTTTGCGTATTAGATTTCTTCCATTTATCTTCTCTAAGTAGCGTTTCCTTTGAGACGAAAGAAAAGCAAGCAACTTTTTAAAGCTCCAAAGCTTGAATTTGATGTTGATGCAGATGTTTTAATTGAAGGAGAAGTATGTAGATTGGGTTACTTGTTTGTATTGCCTCCATTTAATTTTCTAATTTTTCCATAATAAATGTGCTCTGTGAAGAAGCTTAGAAAAGTGCATTGTCTTCGCTCCTATTCCTTTGTGCTAGTAAGTTTTTAGAAGTGTTCAATTGCTTTAGAAACTGGGTGAGGTCTATGTTGCTCGTGTTGCATATAGTCTAGCACCGGGTATTCAGTTATCAATTTGCTTCCAGGACGTGGCACCAGAACTTATTAAAATAGTCTGAATAATTTGGATACGTGCTTGAATTACAATCTTTTTTTATTGTGATTTTCAAAGCTCTTGGCTATATTTCTGCAACTGAGAAACCATCATTCAGAATGCATCTAATACGGCATCTTTTTTCTTTCTTTTTCGTTGCAACGACATCTTAGTTGTATTACCATAACTGACTCATTTCCACTCCGTACAGTATTCCTGGTCGTACTGAGTCATTCTGGAAGGAAGTTGATTACGTCAAGCATTTGTGGAAGAACAGGAAGGAGGTGAAGGTTGAAGATGCTGGAATTGCTGCTTTGTTTGGGCTGGAGTGCTTTGCATGGTTTTGTGCAGGTGAGATCGTGGGAAGGGGATTTACTTTCACCGGCTACTATGTCTAAGAGCAGCCATATGGTAAAATGTTTCTAGGGATTGCACGGGTAAGCCTCTCTCGTCATTTGGGGTTGATCTGAACCGCGGGGACTGTACTTGCAATTTTTTGTTTTCCTAGACGAATTTTTGAAGCTGAGAAATCGGTGGGCAAGTTTGACAGCCATAATAATCAAATGTATTTGAAAGTAACTTGAATGTGATATTGTTCGGTTAATCATGAATGATGATAATACTTCACAATTCTGATTGGATTCACCCTTTCTATCCATCTATCAACTTCTATAAAAACACGTGGTGTATCATCTATATTCCCATCACAATGAAAAATTTCTCCCATCAATGGAGCTTTGTGTCCAAATTTCTTGAGGTGTGGCTCACCCTTGTCCAGGCTTGATCAAGAAGACGGGGGCATAGACCCCCGATGGTTAGACCGGAAAGTTAGTCGGAACCCGACCAATTTACTTTTGCATTACATTTTCGGCTGCGACCAGCGAAGCCGAAAACAAAATTGAATACAATCAAGGAAAGTTCTCTTATTAGAAAAATTATTTTTATTCAAAAAACAAAAATAATAATTAAAACGGCAGCGACCTGAGAAGGGTATTTCAGTAAAATCAAACGACGTCATTCCCGAGAATTGAGAAACCGACAAAACTATATTTTACGCGGAAACGCTTCGAGGGCAAAGGCGCCGAGGGCTTCAATTTCTGGTAATATCGTTGAGCGCAAAACTATGTCATCAATGTCGCGAGACGCCGGCCTCCGTCGCATGACGCGGTTCGCCGCCGCGCTAGCCGTAGTCATCTTCTCCCTCGCCGTCGTCGCCCACTGTTCCAACAATGATTCCGAGGTAAAATATCATCTCTTCCCACAAATTTGGAAGAAAAATTTGAGTCAATTGTTTATAAAATGAGGCTTCTGGAACTTTCAGGTGAGTTGCAGCCGGATCTGCGTGGCGGAGAACTGTAATTGTAAGCTCAATCACTATGCTTTCTCGAAACTCAACTTTGCTTCGTTATTAATTTAAAATTTTTATTTGATTTTAATTATTTGTTTAATTTCGTGTTGATGTTTGTAAATTTAGCGGTTGGGATTCGATACGGGAAGTACTGCGGGGTAGGGTGGACCGGCTGCCCGGGAGAGCAGCCCTGCGATGATCTTGATGCTTGCTGCAAGATTCATGATGATTGTGTTGGCAAAAAGGGTAACAATTTTACTTCAATTTTTATTTTGTTCGAATTTTGGAAGTATAAAGTATATTTTTTTAAGGAAACAAATGAAAAGGGTTTAAAAACTTTGAGTTTTAACGAAAATGACAAATTAAAGGGGGGAGTGAATAGTAACATGATTAACTATTTAATGTAAAAATATGGTTTTTCGTTAAAGTGAACAGTACGAAAGCTTTGGGTTAAAGTTGTTTTTTTTTTTTTATGATTCGAGTGTCGGAGCTTTCGCTTTGCTGCAGTAATGTGGTTGTTTCAGAGACTTCACTGATTTAATAAGCTTTAGAAACTTTATTTTTGGATGAATGGGAAACAAAATGTCAAATGTGGGTGGCCTTTTGATGGCAAAAAGAATCAATCTTTCGATTATTTGAACGTAGTGATGAATTGGGATTTATAATCGAAAACTTTCTGGTCCAGTCATTCAAAAAATTCCCGGTCCAATTTTCACTAGTTTCGGATCCTTTTTATGATTTCTTAGAAACTTGTGGTCTTGTTCTGTAGAAAGAGTTCGGGTTTTATTTTGCCGAAGAATACAAAATCATGAACGAAAACCAACTTGTACTTGGTTAAATTCTAGGCCTGCTCCGCTATAAGATATGGAGAGTGGGAATATATGATATTTCCCCGTGAGAAGGTACTTTATACTTGAGGGCACAATTGGTGGGTTGATATGTTAGTTGTCTGGTGCAACCAGCAATACACAATTTATAACTACCAAACCTATAATTAATAAACGGAAGACAACTTGGGCAAATGTAAGTTGAATATGTTATAGAGTAGCAGTTCGTTGTGAACTGTGCACTTACAGTCGTTTGTTCTTGCCATTTTGTTGCTGGTTTGTATGTGGATGATTGTAGATGAAAGCTCTTTGATCTAGTAATATGTTGGTTTTATAGGTATGACCGATATTAAATGCCATGAGAAGTTCAAGCGCTGCATAAAGAAAGTACATAAATCTGGGAAGGTTGGATTTTCTAAGCAGTGTCCTTATGATACCGCTGTGCCTACTATGGTACAGGGTATGGATTTGGCTATCTTACTGAGCCAGTTTGGTAACTCGAAGCTTGAGCTGTGATTTGCCGAAGAAGAGAGACATTGCCCGGGAGTAGAATCATATATAGCACCCCTACTTACAATTGATCTCCAACACCCGAAAAATGGGAGTGGAACTCATTTGACAGAAATGAACTAACTATGATCGAGTAAATGGATCCTCGGATCTACATCTACCTGATTATGTTTTGCGTTACTGACTCTTATACCTTCGTTTTTACAATTGATTCTTATTCTACAACTTTGTGGTTGTTGACATGAATTCAACAATTGGTTATCCCGAAAAATTCATTTTCTTAGGTTGTTTATAATGTACAGAAAGCGAGTTGGATTTGCTCTGAACTTTATTTTTTTTGTGATAATTTTGTGGTTATGTCCAGAACAATGTTATCTTGGTCAGTATTTAGTTTTATCTTGGAAGCGGAACTAAGTGGAAGCTTGGCCTCCCGGCCTCTGAAATGAAGACGAACTCAAGCTCCTTGTTTGCTTACCTTAACTCAGATGATAGTGAGGCTGAGGAAGATCATCCTAGAAAGATTTCCACCGTCAATGCTCATACGACTGCCAATATTTCTTGCAGCGTCATGAACTTCTTGTGATTGGCACATGAGAAGAGTGACCGAGACAATGTTGCATTCAACATGTTGCAGGTAAGTTTTTTCTGCACGGACTGAGATTATGACGAATGTAAAATCCCATGAGAAGGTTGGGTTAGTGATGTGCCTGCTATTGTATATATTGTGCAGAAGAAAGTTGGTGCCCACCTGAAAGCACACAAGCAACAACTTTTCCTGGGATTATTATTTAAATCGGGCACATTCTGCAGTTAGATGGCTTGTAATGTATGAAATATCTAGCTAGCATTCTAACTTGTCCATCCCACTTGGTGAATTCTTGCTCACAAGTTGGCTCTATTCTTTGAAATGTCAAAGTGGCGTTTGTCGGCAGATTCTTGGCTGTCCCGGAGATATCTCTTTTTTTATATATCTCTTCTCATCACGCAACAAGTGATGTAAAAGAACGGCATGAAGTACCGTATATGAAAATATATCCCCGATTGTATGCTAGTCTCCTGATGCTTGGCTTATATCTCAACTCATATGAGGGAGTTGCGTGGAGAAAACCTTCCTACACCATATGCTTCTCTCACATTTGCTTTATTATGCAAGTGACACATGAGCTTATATGTGAGAGATTGTAACGTAACGGATGCGAACAAGTGACAAAACAACAAAAAATGACTCATATGAGACTATTATAAATGACACCAATGCCATGACAAGTAACAAAATTCAGAATTTGTAAGTTAGAAGTTAGGTTATGTATGGTTGGTAGGTCAGCTAACTTAAGAAGATGAGATGAGCCTAATTCTGCAGGACCAGTTATAATCCAATTTCATCATATAATTAATTAATTAATTAGGAAGCTTCCTTCTTGTGCATATAAAAAAGATTGATAGTTTCAGAATCTTTTAACTATATTTTATAAATTAATGGAAAAGCGAACTATTTGTATTTAAGACTTTTTAACACAAGGACAAATTCAAGACAATAATTTTTTTTTTCAATGTGTCAGTGATACGGCTTGGTACATTAAATATCTTAATACAATGGTTGAATTTTTTTTTTCAAGTTTCTAACAAATTGTATTATAACATTTTCTATATCGAGCTGTGTGTCGGATACAATAAAAAATTTCTTTAAGACATAATAAGGAGTGCTTATAATAATTGGAGTGATCTGTCCATCCACATGGATTCCGTGATTCCTTTTTAACGTTAGCATATGTCACATTCTTTCACTTCCAACTTTAAGTGCCTCCTCAAATCAAAACTTTATGTATCGTTTACAATATTTGTTTGCTTGTAATGCACTCAAGGATTAAAATATTCATGAATATATATTGATTGATGATTGATAATAATTTTTTTAAGATAATGATACTTGTGAAGTTGAAAAATCTAATCCTCGTATCTATTAACCAGAAAGATTAGTTATCACGATATCATAAGCAATATCAATCAATATATCTACAAATATAGCACGATATTATTTGCATCACTAATACTTTCATCCATAATTACACTGGTGTCCACATCCTTTTACCTCAAAGATATCATTGATCTCAATACAATTTTACCCTCAAAAGAAAGAAAAAGGAATTTACAAAAAGATAAAAACAAAAAGAAAAGGCAATCGATTAGAACAAAAAAATAAAGACAAATAGAGTTTATTACCAAAAAATAAAAAGATTAAGACAAAGACTTTAATTATTTTATTCACTGTGAAAAAAAAAAAGCACAAAAGGGTAAGTTAGTCAAAGCCAAAGACGGCCTCACTGTCCTTATGCTGCACCCCATCACACACAAACTCAATCACATTTTATATTTACCGTGTGATCAAGGAGAAGACTTGAAAATGATCAGATCCCTTCCAACTGATTCTTCTTATCAAATAATTCGAATCTTTAAAATTTGATCTAACTGTTAAAAATAAGAATTCACTCTGAAAGTTATAATAATTTTAACTGTTGAATCAAATTTCAAAGATCGTGATTGCTTGACGAGGTTGATTTAATGGAAGGTTCCGACCAAGTCATAGCTTTCCCATGGAAAAATTAAACTTCCGCGAAATTTCAATCTCCAATTTTCCACGTCCCTTCCTCTAAGAAATCCACGTCTCTTTCCTTTTTCCTAATCCCAACTATTCTCACACGCTTCGCCCGAATCAAAACGCCATCTCGATTTCTTACGCTCCGAGAAAGAATCGTATAAATTTTGCGAGTTCAGAGCTTTCGGTTTTGAAGGTTCTCAAATCTTGAATCCACCATGCTTCACAGGAGCTTCAAGCCTGCCAAGTGGTAATTTTTTCCTTTTTTTTTTTTGATGATTTTTAACGACCTGTTTGGTTTCCGAGAATCTTTGGTGAGGAGAGAGGAAAATTAGAACATAATTGTGTAACTGTGTGATGATTTTGCGCGGGTTGACTTACTGTAGAGTCTTGAGTCTTTGTCATCGAAAATTGTGTAATTATTGAAATTTTACTGTTGTATTGATGGATTTTGGCGGGTTTTTGGTGCAGCAAAACGTCATTGAAGCTTGCGGTTTCGCGGATAAAGCTATTGAAGAACAAGAAGGATGCACAGGTGAAGCAGATAAGGAGGGAATTGGCCCAGTTGCTTGAGACTGGCCAGGACCGGACTGCGAGAATTCGGGTTTGTCTTTGATCATCATTTCGTATCTATTTACAATTGAAGTTCTTTGTTTTTTGGTTTTTCTATGCTTCAGATTTTAAATTCAATGTTTTGGTCTTGTACGGTAGAGTATGCTTCTTGATGGATTTGGTCCTTTTGGCTTTGACAATAAGTGTTCTAATGGCGAATAGATTTCGAGTCCAGAGCAACTAGATTTTGCATTATTCACTAGTTTGTTTAATTTGGAGACCTGTTCTATGAATATTGCATTTTGGGAAGGTCTTGATATGTTTTGTTTTTCAATTATGTTGGTTGAACTGGTTTTAATGGGAGAGGAAGCCCAGTTTTGCCAATTTAAAGTGTGGCGGTGCACTCGTGAAAGGCCAAGAAATGAATTAGAAAACGGAACTTCTTGCCCTGGCTGTTTGTATTCGATGTCTGATTATAGTAGCAGCCTCTACTTTTTGGAGTTTCCTGTGTGGTACATACATTTTTTTGCTGACTTTTACGGAATCCTGTATCTCAGGTTGAACATGTGGTCAGAGAAGAGAAGACAAAGGCAGCATTCGAACTTATCGAGATATATTGCGAGCTTATTGCCGCACGCTTGCCTATGATTGAATCACAAAAGTATGTAAATCTATTAAATCTTGAATTGTTTTGGCATCTTTTATTCATTCATATGCTCTTATGTTTAAATTTAGCAGTATTTTGTTATGCATCAGTTACGTGGTTCTTTGTCAGTGCTTCCTTTAACATTGTGTATTTTATGATAGGTACATAGCTTATTCATATATTACTGTTTCCGCAACTAAGGATTTGTTTTATATTTTGACAGAAACTGCCCCATTGATCTGAAGGAAGCAATTACAAGTGTAGTATTTGCATCTCCAAGATGCGCAGACATACCAGAACTCATGGATGTTCGCAAGCATTTCACAGCTAAATATGGAAAGGAGTTTATCTCTAACGCTGTTGAATTGCGCCCAGATTGTGGCGTAAGTCGCATGGTATGTACCTTGTGCAATTTCCTGGATAATTTTATATGGAAACCAATTGCAGATGGTTGAGACATTGTCAAAAGTCAACACTCAGTAGATTGGTTTTATTGATCATTTTTTAATATATTATCGTGTCAGTTAGTGGAGAAGTTATCTGCCAAATCACCCGATGGCCCTGCCAAGATGAAAATCTTGGCTGCAATAGCAGAGGAACATAACGTCAAATGGGATCCTGAAGCACTTGAAGAGAAAGAGTCTAAGCCTCCAGAGGACTTGCTGGTAAGATTTATTCCCCTCTAGCCTGGTTCATTCATTGCTTGATATTACATAGATAACATAGAACTAGAACTACATTTCATTGTTTAAGACACGTCCGTTTATTGATATACTTTTTTGACATTTTAGCAGAATGGGCCAAATACTTTTGGTAGAATTCCTGCGGAACCTTATCTTGGCCCACCTCCTCCTAATCATGATGTCAAGGCACCTTCTAATGCTCAGGTTCCACCTCAAAATTATGGGAATTATGGTCCACCCTCGAACTTTAACGAGCAGAATGCAAGATCTTCACCTCACTTTCAGGATTCTGCTTCTTCAAATGTTTCTTCCAACAAAGCAACCACATCTGGCTCATTTCATTCAGAAGTTAGATCTTCAGGTACGTTAATAGTTATTGGAAGATGGTGATTTAATAAGTTTATTATTTACAAGTGGTATTTTTATTTTCTTCTCTGTCTCATTCTTAATTTGACATTCCCACACAGGAAATCAAAATGATGGGATGGAAAATAGGCTTTTGTCTCCTGAGGATGGAAGTTCTTCTTCACCGGGTAGGCAGAGCTGGAACATGAATTTTAAGGATGCTGCTTCTGCAGCACAGGCAGCTGCTGAATCAGCAGAAATGGCAAGCATGGCTGCCAGAGCAGCTGCTGAACTTTCAAGAAAACATTCTTCAGAGTCACGGGATAAGTTTAGCCAGTCAGCTTCCTTAGCTTCCAGTAGAACTTCCACAAATGCTCCTTCTGCGAGTAGTCACCAAATGCAAGATCGATATCCTCACCAAATGGCAGACCGAGATTCTCAAAATAAGTCATCTGAGACCGAGAAGCGTGATTTCACAGATGAAGTGCGTATGAAGAGACAGTCTAGCAACACTAATGTGCAAGCAAGTGAGATGCAAAGTGGAGTGAAACCAGATAATATTTCGCATTTTGACAATGCAAGATCTGAAGAGAAATCTAGTAGGCCATCCTCCCATTCTAATTCTATGGGAGAAGTGAGTACGAAGAGACAGTCAAGCAACACTGATGTGACGTATGGGAGTGAGATGCAAACTGGGAACACACCTGCTAACATGTCTTATTTTGGCGGTATGAGATCTGAAGAAAAATCTAGTAGGCCTTCCTCCCGATCTAATTCAAGCTTTGGTAGTGAAGATCAGGAAGATGTTTTAAGAGGGAACTTGGAAGATATGAGGACTGGAGAACAATCTATGAGGTCCTCCTCTCATTCTCATTCAAGAAATTTTAGTAATGACCATGAAAATGTTTCAAATGGCTCTGTTGAGGAGTCTTTTGTTAACGATGTTAACATCTTCCAAAGCACAAAGGAAACAAATTCTTATGGAAATGCTGCTTTGGTTTTTGATGACTCTGGTTCGGATGATGATAAAAGTAAATTTGAGGTGGAGGACAATAAGGGGCAAGGATCTAGTTTGTTTTTTCCTTCCCCTGATAGAAACTCATTCTCTCCT